TTATTTTTATTATATATTATTAAATATTTTATTTGACAGGGACAGAGAGAGGGAACAGAAGCAGGGGGAGTGGGAGAGGAAGAAGCCGGCTCCCTGCTGAGCAGGGAGCCAGATACGGCTCGATTACAGGACCCTGGGATCATGACCTGAGCCGAAGGCAGACTCTTGAGGACTGAGCCAACCAGGCGCCCCAGTAAGCTATTTTTAATACTTCCATTATTTTATAACTAAAACATTCCTCCGTCTATTTTACCAGACTCTGAACTCTAAGAGCAGATATGTTACTGGGTCACTTCTGTATCTCTAGCATCATACACAGCACCAGGGAGGGTAGATTTGAGAAATATTTAAGTGAACATTACTATTTCTGGAGTTTATCCAACTCCCATAGAACTAAACTAGCTTTTATGAAGGCTAGGGGAGCCTGGGTGACTTAATCGGTTAAGCCCGGTGTCTGCCGTGGGCTCAGGGCATGATGACAGGCTCCCTGCTTGGCGGGGAGTCTGCTTCTTCCTCTCCCCTGCTCTCACCCCGTTCATGTGCGCACATGCACGCACGCTCTCTCTCAAAATCTTAAAAAAAAAAAAAAAACAACCTAGTTCTACCTGAGCTGGCTCAGGTAGACTGCTCAGATCTTTGAGGAATTTGCAACTTCTAATATTAGCTGCTAAGGGATATGAAGTTCATTTCCCTCTTAGCAAAGGACATCAAGCCAGGCAAAACTGCAAAATTTTTCCTTTTGTTGTTCAGTGCTCAGGAGTCACAGCCCCAAATGCCTTCGGGGCCAGCTGGCTGTATTGGCTGGAGGCAGATGGGTGGGTCCTCACTGTGGCTGGCAAATGCGAGCGCCGTCTCCTCCCCAGGCTCCACGCTGTGGTGCACGCCACCGGCAAAGGTAGGCAGATGCCAGGAGCTTGGAGCAAGCTTGGTCTCCCCCCAGGCTGCCAACCGTGACCTGACCTCAGAAGACAGACGCCTTCACTCCCAGTGAGTGGCTCCTAATAGCCCAACTGCTTGCCCTTGTGCTGTTATTCCAGTGTCCCCCGCCCACTAGTTTCTTAAAACGGAAAAAGGACCTACGAATCGATCACTTTTACTTTCTCCCATGTCTGAAAAGTCAAGGGATATTTTAGGAGACTGTAGTCTCATGAGAGTGCTTATTTCTTTGTGTGCCTTGGACTAGAACTCTTCCTTAAATATGTGAATGTAACTGATTTTGAAAAAAGCCCCCTGTAATAACAACACACTTATATAAAGAAACTAGGAAATGTATTTGGGTGAATGCTTACCATGTGCAAGCAGTTCTTTCACTTTGCAACAAATTATTTGGCCTTGCTCTAGAGACAGAAGGATTTTTTTTTTAATTTTTTTTTTTAAGATTTTATTTATTTGACAGAGATTACAAGTAGGCAGGTGGGGCGGCGGCGGAGGAAGCAGACTCCCCACTGAGCAGAGAGCCTGATGCGGGGCTAGATCCCAAGACCCTGAAATCATGACCTGGGCCTAAGGCAGAGGCTAACCCACTGAGCCCCCCAGGCGCCCCTCTTTTTAAGCATGAATTGATTCCACCGTTTAAAATGAAATCCCAGTGGGTTAGGAGGAGACTGTTCAGAATGTGCGCTCATCCCCACGCCTGAAAGCTCTGGGCCCCATTCAGAGAGCTAAATTGAAATTCTCCCTTCTGTGCCACCTCCCCTTCCCTTTCCCCCTCCTGCCCCATCCCTGTTACTATCCAGGAATGTAAGCAATTTCCTAAGTGGACTTTGAGCACATCTTTTGGACTTGGCTTGTTCTAATGTCACCGTTCAGAACCGCCCCAATCCGCGATCCTGCTGGACGACCTTGACCTCCGTCTCTGTGGGGCTTCGTTGTGGTCAAGTCTCAGCTCAGCTGCCAGTCCTGAGCTGCAGCAGCCTCCCCTCCGCCTGTCCGGGTGCTCCTGGCGGGGAGGCTGCGGCCCCAGAGCTTCCGATGTGGTTTCTGCCTTACGCGATCTGCTCAGCCAGGCCAGGGCTCCTCCTCGGGTTATTCTGTAGAGCAAATCTGTTCCTTATGACCATTATATCCTCTGCTCATCTAACTGGTCTAAAATTTTTCTCGTAATAACCGTTTACTGAAATCGTTTAACTTGGTAGATGAATACTATGTAAAGGTCATAATGTTACATAAAAGGCCATGCATTGCTTATTGAAATGAAGAACTAAACATTTAAAATTGCTAAAATATCCCTTTATTAAAAAAAAAAATTCCTGAGTAATAAGTCATTTGGAGTACCACGCAGGCACACATTTTAATGTCTTTGAACCAAAAGAACAATCTCAACATGCTTTGCTTTAGTGTAAAAATTTATTATACAATCATACAGAATGCTTATCTATCTACAAAGAAAAATGGCTTCTCCTGCCTCCCTATCCACCCCAATCATGATATTATGTTCTCAAGTATTTTCAAAGGAAAACGAAAAAGTGACATCCCCATTTTCTAAATAAGGAAGTTCCCAGAAACAGAATCAGAATGGTCTCTTACCTACAAAATGCTGTTCTGCCCATCACAGTGAGTATAATTTTTGTTTCACAAATAAAAAGGAATACTTCTCTAATGGGGTTAGGGAGGACGTTCTCTCTCAATATGCCTAAATGCTTCAATATATCATGGTGATGGGCTGAAAATGTCACTTCATTTCCATTTAACATTCTGCTTAAAAAAAATTTAGAATTTTTAACATGTGCTTATAGTATTATATATTTTCATTCTTATTAAGAGTAAAAAGAAATTCGGGAACAAAGTTTTCATTTTTCTAACAGTATATATAGGCTGTTGTTTTTTTTTAAACTACTTTAAGAAAGTCACATTAAGTGTAGACATTTTGCTTTTTAAAGTTTCAACACTTAATGACCGGTTACAATAGTCACCTGATCCAGTTTTTGTGGCTAAGATCTCAGAGCTCTGTGTATTTGTATCAGCCCTTGAATGGTTTAAGGCTAGAAGTGTTTGATTAGAACTAAAGACCTAATGGGAAGCAGGGTCCTGAAGCCTCTAGGTTGAGCTGGGAAGTGCAAACTACCCAAGTTTTTCCCTTTGAGAGGTTTCCCCCTGCCTTCTACTTAGGGCTGGTGGGCTCGGTCACTCTGCTGAAGGATGGCTTCTCTCCTTTCTCGGCCAGGACCAAGTCCAGGGAAGCCGCAAAGCGGCAGGTAAACTCAGAGCGGGGAGCCGGAAGCGCCTCCCTGACACTGGAGAACCAGCTGCAAACAACGCACGCCCGGTGAGGTCCGGCTTCTCCCTGGGTCCCACTTTCCCCCCGGATGTACTTTGAGAACAGATTTTTAGCCCTCACTTGGGACCTAAAACTGAACTAGAGTCCAGCTCCTCCGAGGGGCTTGTCCAACCCGCGTTTTGTTGCAGAGGAGGGGCCAGAGGCTGGCCCTTCTTTTGGAACGAGTTTCTGGGAGAGAACGGAACTCAGAGCAATACTGTTAGGACCGGGTGGAAGGAAGTGGGGATGAAGCGCCCTCGAAAAATCAGTTTTCAACAACTTTTTAGAAGAGTAAATACAGAGTAAGTGGGCGTCAGAAATGCGTGTTGGGTAAAAACGGACCAGGGGCCGTAGCGCACCTGCCCCGCCACCAGCCACCGCCGTCAAAGCCCGCCAGGTCCGGAGAGGGGAGCGGACAGGAGCGGGAGGGGAGAAAGCACCATCGGGGTCTGTGTCGTACCAGTGTCCGCACTCTTTTTTTAAACAGGGAAAAGAATTTTAACACCGGAAATCGAGGGCCCAAGAAGGACAGAAAGGCGCCTCCGGACAGACCGGACGGGCCCAGGCAGCGGTAAGCGCGCCTTTCTGGCGCTTGCACATCTGACCTCAACATCATGAACTACAAGTTGTTTTAAAGAGAAGGAAGGAAAAAGAAAATGTCGAACGTGGCAAGTCTTACGGGTATAAATCTTCCTCGCATCTTCAAAAACTACTGTTTCCGTTCTTGGTGCAAGTGAACAGTAAAGGTTTAATACTTAGAAAAAAAAATATTACTGCGGCTCTCCTCTGCTTTTGTGCTTGTTCTCAGGAGAAAGCATGTTACCTGGGCAGGGGAGGGATGTGCGGAGTTCGCCGAACTGGCATTTTTCACTGAGGTTCATTACCAGTCCCTGGCTCAGCGCTGGAATCTTTGCATCATCCTCCTCTTCCCGTTTTCAAAAAGTTAACCTACAAAGAGTGACAGCAGTGTTTGGGGGTATTACCCACAAGCAGGCTCACAAGAAGTAGCGGGCCAACTCAACATCTGTTTTGCCCCAACGGCTCTGATTTATAAATATTCCAGTGCCTTCTCCTTCTAGGGAAAAGGGAAGATTCCTTGATAAGAAAGGAAACAGGCAGCCAGATTTAGATCCTGCTTTCAGAGTGAGCAGGGTGTCTGTTCACAACATAACCTGGGGAAATTTAACATAGGAGGTAGACAGGAATATATGAATAGTCACGAAAACCAAAATAAAACAGAGGATTGACGCCTATCCAAAGCCCCTGAGCTAGGAGGATTTGGCAGGTTTTTTTCCTCCTCAGAAAATGGAATTGTCAAAATAAAATACAGATTTCATTACCATATCACTAAGCTGAGACGTAGAGTCTGTCAAATTCCTACACTACCTTCAAAGTTTTGCTAGGTTTTCCTGTTTTCTGTGTATAATCCATTTTAATATTTTCTAGGGTTGGGACAAATGGACTGATGACTTATTAATAAGGACTAAGCAATTATTGCTTAATATAGATGAAGACCCTGTAGTTAGAAGGTAATTGACATTTTGTTTTCAACATTTTAATCGAAAGAAAACATTTTATTTGAAGACTGGCTTCAGAAAACAAGGCTCCATGTTTCCTGGCTTTGCATGTGTGTAAGGCGTTACAGAGACAGTTTCTGGTGAGGGGTTCAGGTTGGGGGGGGACAGAGAAGCTGCACCAGGTCTGAGGTGACACGGTGTGCTGACGGAAGCATTCAGTTAACAGATTAACCTAATAGCAATATATTAATACATTCCAGGTACAAATGATTTATAAACTCAAAAGAAATTAGTTTATGCTAAAACATATATAACTTTCAATTCAGTCTTTGCTTTAAAACAAGCGAATCTGTTAGGCTATTATATATGCTTTGTCTGTCACTTGACGTTTACTGTGCTTTCTTGTTGATGACCCCATTAGTGGCGGTGAAGTAGGCTTTGGAAAAACCATTCTTCACTTCTTTCCCAGCAGGTGACTCTTCCATAATTTTCTTCACTGGCTTTTTCCGGTATGTCTGTTGGATGTGTAGATTTCAAAGAAGGAAAAGGAAAAAGGATTCTTGAATAAGACTTTGTCTCTGACATGGTGTATAATCTAAAACAGCTCATGATATTATTGTATGATAACATCATGGACAAATAATTTTTGTAATAGGACAATTTTTAAGCTAACGGTTAAAAATAAAAGGGTAAAAACCAAGACAAATCTGAATTTCCATGAAAGGTTATTTCTTTCACCTTATCCATCCATGTTGGTTAGGATTCACGTGTTATGGGATGAGTGCCCAAATTATTCTGCATTAGTTGCTTCCTTGTAGTTCCTAAAAGTGAGATACTTTCCAATTCAAGCTGAAAAAATGTTATTTTGAAAGTACTAGTACCTTGGATTCTGGCTTGATTTGAGTTTTGGCATATCCTTCCTAATTCTGACAAAATACCTGATTTCATCTTATTTTTAATTTTTTTTTTAAAGCAATGGTATCAACAAGGGTCAAGACTGAAATTATAAACTCTAAAGGAGTAAGATTCCATTTGAACAACAAGTAGGGATGATGTCGTGGGTGCCCATCACCCACCCTGCTGGGCCACAGGCGGCTCCTCGACACCAAGCACCACGTGCATTCCGTGAGCTTTCCTGGAACGGTCTGTGTCTGTTTTTGTTTGGGTGGCTTTGTTTGGTTCTGTCAGTGGTTATTTCTTTAGACATTCTCAAAGGAGACTTGTATCTCTTATAAAAGACAAAGCCTACCCTGTCCAATTTTAGAAACACAGGGGCTTAAAAACCTGTCAGAGGCTCAGGCTCCTACCGCTGGGCTCTGTTCGAAGCCTCTGTGGGTTAACTTCCATCAAACACAAACTATAAAGGAAAGAACCTGTTGTCTGAAGAAATATCCTTGATTATAATTTCGAAAGTGCTGTTTTGAGTATAAATGTATATTCTCATCTCTTTTTCATGGAGCTTACTTTCCCTGCCCTCCCCCCCCAAAACACACACAGGAGAGTAATTTAAAATCCACAGCGACCTGAGGCCGGTGCCCTGCTGCGGCTTTCATCAGTTTTTTGTCTTCACGGAGTTTCTTTGAAATTGTGTTTTGAAGCTCTGTTCATTTAAGTTGTTGATTAAAAAGAAAATGACCATGAAGAAAAAGCCAATGTGACCTTTCCATGATGGCTGGCCTCAAAAGAATTCCAAATAGTGAGTTTATAATATCACAGTGCTGATATGGAAACAAATCTCATTTAGCTTCTGTTTTTCTCCATTCAAACAGATTTCCCGCATTCACTTAGAAGACTTTGGTAGCTTGGTGCAAATACATCACCCAAACGTGTGACCTGACTGAATTCTAATAAAATGCCCACTAGGCTGGAATAGGGGTTATCCTTCAAGGGGAGGTTGCGGGGCATGGAATTAGGAATGCAGGTTTCTCTGGTTCCTTTGGGTGCCTCTGTTCCACACAAGTCTGTGCGCTGTTATTTCATTGCTCTTATGTAAGACAAAAGCCCAGTCTACTATGTTTTGCCGCTAAAGACTTACAGGTCACTTACCTGCACGTAAAAATTTAAGAAGAGGATGACTAACGTCAGCATGTAGGAAGACTGGAAGATGAGACAGCCCAGAGGGAAGCCGCAGGGCTTCACCACTGCGCTCATGGTGTGCGTGATGGTGAGCACGAACTGCACCTGGTGGGGGCAGGGGGGCGGGGTGGGGGGGGGAGAGGCGGCAGGTGAGGCGACCGGGTAAGCCATAGAAAATCCATTTTGCAATGTTACACGTTGAGAACTCGACTTCTAGTACTAAGATTTGCAAAAATAAGATGCTGAAGCAACCCCCCATCCTATCCAGACATTTCACCTGAACAACACTACTAGGCAGATACAATTGCCCCCTCGTTTTCTCATGGGAGAGGAGCGGTTGAATTCTTTAGATAAAAAGGAATCGGTTAAAATTAATGTCTGGGTTAAGGCATCTACATTTCAAAGCAAGGAATGAGCTAATTGTATCCACAGAGGACATTTTAAAACACCAGGTTTAATGCCTAAAAGGTTAATTTTAGAGAAAAATGGGCAGCCTCCTCGCCCAGAAGAGCCTCTGTCGAGGATGACCGATTCCTTTCCTCCGTCCCTGAGAATACTTAGATGCGTCCCATGGAGAAGAGCAGAAAGGAGGGGTGACATACCAGCTGAGCCTGTGTGAGGTATTTCTTCCACCAGAGATACCTGTGCATGGACGGGAACACGGAAAGGCCGTAGTAGGAGTACATGAGGATGTGGATGAAACTGTTCAGGGTGGGTCCGAAGAAGCCTGTAACAGTACAGTGGAAAAGTTACCGCTCATCTTCATCGAACGAGACTGGTTCTTCCTGTGTGTCATCAGGGAAGATGAGCAACAACTCCCGTACCATCATCTACCAGAATTTCACACTGATAAGTTCACCTTCGTTTCTGTGTTATTCGTCCAGCAGGATTTGGTAAAAGTCGCCGAGATAGGACAAAACTGGGATGGTTTTTCAGCCAGAACGTCAACCAAACAGGTAATTCCTGATCTGCAAAGGTTTTACTGTCTCTTACACCATCATTACTGTCCACAAATTGCGAAGAAAAGGAAACGTTTGCTTAAACCTGGTGGCAGAGTTCCTTTGAAAGAGAAATTCCTCCACTTTCGCTAAACCTGTGATGAACCATTCTGGTTGAGGGAAGAGGCTGCGGGTATGAGGCTGAACAAAGCGTCCAGGAGGGTATGTTGCTGTTTATGACTCAACCTGAAAGGGACCTAGGAAGCAGGCGATGCTAGGGGAAAGCGAGGGGGAAGGTCCTGCAGGAGAGAAGGATGGGACAGAAGAGGGATCAGTAAGTGAGATTTCCCAGTGTCTGGGCCATCTCATGGACTTCTAGGACAAGGAATATCTAAAATCCAGTTTTAGGATCTATGCTATGCCCTCCCTGCCCCTTCCTTCATGAAGTCCCTATAGCTGTCATCAATGGGGGGTGACTGGTGTTTCAGGAAACCAAAGGAAAAAACTAAGTTCCATGTTGGCTCAACTAGGAAGCAAAAGAATTTAGCTGCAAGAGGTCAGATGTCAGAGACGGGTTCTTTGCTGGAGAGCGGGATACTCACGTTCCTGAGGATTAAATCCATACATCCATGCACAGTGCTTACAACGTGCCCGGCCAAGTGACTACTACTTATATGCCACCTCTGGATCCAGATGGAGCTGAGTCCTGCACTTGGAGGGGCTGTGGAGCTAGAGGACGCCTAGAAGCCGGGTTCCCTTGGATGTATCTGTTTTACCTTATAAATTTTGTCATCTGGAAAAGGGGGAGGATGTGATTGACTGAATAATACTGTATAAACTGAAAAGTTCTGCACCTCTGCTGGTTAACCGGTTTAAATTCTCCAGCCTGGTTTTCCAATTCTAGATCAGAGGTCTGGTTAGATAAGCGCAAATCAATGAATAAGAAATGAAAACACTCATATCCAGTAAGTCCTTCACAAACTCTGGCTGGAATAACTTTGTACAGGGCTCAGATTTACATGAAAACAGAGTTTCAGAGAACCAGCTAACATGTCAGTGGGATTTCTTTACTCACCTGAGTTTTCATTACCATGAATGCATGGAAATGGACTACTTGTTGCTTACAATTTTATAATATTTTAGGTTCATGAGAAATGGTCACACACAGCATCTTAACAGGAATCTGATGTCTTTAAACAGATTATGTGTGACTGTCTTTCAGATGCTTAGTGAATGTAATGAGATAGCTGATAAATACAAAAAATACTTAACCTTAATAATTCTTTGACACTGATTACAGCATAAATCTAACAAAACTGAAGACATTAGATTCGGTCTAGGGGAGGTATAAAAAACTCACCTCTGATTCCCACACCACCAGCAATTTCCTTTACACTCTGGTTTCAATGTACGTCTTCATGGTCACTGATACTTTTTAAAATGTCAAGAATGTTTGTAATACATCTTTAAGACCCCAAAATCATTTTGACTTAAGTTTTTACCTGTACTGAGTTTTCATAGGACAGTTTTAGATTTGGGGATATAAGACAATCAGAAAGTATGCTATGCTGTCTCTTTTGCAGGTCACAATGGACCCATTCGTGAACCATGACCTTGCTGTGGTGAGAGTCATAAGCTTATTAAAAAGTGCAACAGAATTAACCACAACAACAGAACCCAAAAGTGCATCCCCCAGAACTAAGTGAAATAGTTTCTGAAATTCTTCTTTCATACAAAGTTTATACATGTAAAGAGGCTGGGATATAATGTGTATTGTAGTTCTCAGTTTTAAAAAAAAAAAAAATACTGAAAGCCCCAGAGAGATGTGACCTTAACTCTTCAGAGTGGGAAGAAAGCCCTGGGAGTTGAAGTGACCCCAATCTGTAGCACCGTCAGGTGGGGACTGTGGAAGGTGCCAGATTTATTTCTGCAGGTGTCCTTGAGCCCCCAGGGTTGGAATACAATTGCTCCAGCTGGGGTACATGCTCCTGGCCCTCAGACCTTTGGGCATGGGAAAAAGATGTTTTTAAAATTTAAGGTAATACTCAGATTTTGCCAGAATCAAAGACCAGATAGCTAAACGGCCACTGGCAAACAGGTGCTTCTCTGTGTAACAGTGCAGTACCCCCCACCCCCGTGGCCTCCCTTTTCTCTCTCCTGATCCATGTGCGATATTCAAGACACTTACAGAGGTCTTAGAAGACCAACTACAGAGACCTGAATAATCAGTGAAAGCACTTACTTTGCCCACAAGGTATCCAGTGAAAGCACTTACTTTGCCCACAAGGTATCCAGTTCAAAACACACCACCAGATGTTAAACATGGAGGCATGATGGTATACGTGAAGAAAAGTAATCTGGCTGGTTTTTTTCCGCAAAACAAAGAAAATTGTGTCCAGGAACTCTACTGATTTGGAGAAGTAGTACCACCATAACACCTTGGCTACCTGTAAGGATGTGGAAACAGGAAAGAGAAAAGGTGAGCAACGAAAATGCTCATCCTGCTGCCCTACCTACCTCTCGGCAACCTGGGGGACACTGGGTTTCACTAGTGTGCATTTCTCTCTCCATCACACAAGCACCTTCCCGGCCTCTCTACCTCCAGCTTCTCCTTATTCCCAGCAATCCCCCCCCACTCTAGTGAAAATGAGTCAGGCCTCCAACATGCAGATCTGATCAAGGGAGTCCTGGGCACCTGCAGAGCACAGGTTCCTTCCCTGGTTTGCCCTGGCTGCTATTTCCAGCACCCCTCTCTGGCCACACTCCCCCATTCTCGGGGCATACCCCTACTCTCTGAGCACACCACCCTATGCTGTCCAGGTGCTCTGCTTCCTCTAACTGGGTTTCCTAGCACCCTCCTCCCCCCAACCATGCTCCTTTCCTCTGGAACTCTACCTAACCCTCTGCTTGCTTTTCTCAGGCCTCATCAGCTGCACCTTCATTTGCATTCCCCACTTACATTCTGCCTCTGCCCTCAGTAAGGAGGACAGTGAGGCGAGGATTAGGCACAGCCAGCCCACCACACAGGGCAGGAACCTGCCCATCTCTGCTCCATGCCTGGCACTCAACAGATCACTACTGTTCCTCAACACTGGGCTTACATTTTCCCCCCCTCTTCCTCTAACCTATGTATGTTTTTATCTCTTAGCTGTTACAGGGGCCTGGAGCCGTCTGTACACACAAACTACATCTTTCACGTCTTCTCCTCAGATTTAAAATCAAGATGGCGTATGAAGTGTTGACCCACTGCACTGTGCACCTGAAACTAATATTACCCTGTATGTTAACTAACTGGAATTCAAATAAAAACCTAAAATCAAAACGCTCTTCCTCCTCACTGAAGTGGTGGGTCCGGATTCCCCCTTCCCTTCCCTCCTAAGCCCCTTACAAAGTCTCAGGTACAGGGCGAATACTTGAAAGGCGCTGGGGTTTTAGCGCTAACAATGAAACATATGAGGGAGTGTGTAGAACAGGGACTTTGAAGCAAGACTGCTTCCCGAGAACATAATAAGGTGTGGTGGCTTCCACCCTAATGTTTGAGGGTCTAGTTAAACTTCACAGACATCAAGCCAAATAGAAATGTAAAACAACAACCCTTAGAGAATTGTATGATAACCCAAAAGTGTAATGGTCAGTGATAGAAATAAATTAGAAATAAGATGGGTGCCAAAAAAAAAAAAAAATGGGTGCAGAGAAATCTATATACCCTATTTTGTATTCTAGCTTTGAAGATTTTTTTAAAAAAGAGTTTAAAAATGTACATCTTAAAGACTTTAAAAGACTTCTATCTAATAAGCATGGTTTTTTGTTATGGAAATTTATCAAACACCCACAAATTCAAGGACAGTTAAGTATAAAGAACCTGTGTACCTATCACTAAGCTTCAGAGTTTTCAATATGATTCCAATTTGTTGAATCGGTTCTATTAATAAACATTTTTACGGGGGTGTAGCATTACTATAAGCAAAGGCAGAGGGACAAGCAGGCTCCCCGGTGAACTGGACACGGTGCTCTATCCCAGGACCCCGAGATCAAGAACTCAGCCGAAGGCAGACGCTTAACCCAGGTGCCCCATTAAGAAGTTTCTCCATTCACTTTTCACTCAACAGTTTTATCACTTATGGACGACTGCTGAACACATCCACTGTTTCACTAAGACTTGCAAAAGGACGATTATTTTCCCTCTTCTATAGAGAAGAGTTCTTCCTCTATTTGGAAATTCACAAATGAAAAGCAAAGATAAATGTTTCTGTCCCTTTAACTTTTTTCCCCTCAAACGAGCTGGTGTTCTAGCAACCTTCAGACAGCAACAATGTGTTTTTTAGTATCATTTTAAACTCATGGTTTTTAAGTAAATGTATCTCAATCCATTCCAGTCAGTAATCTTTTTGAATTGTCCCATGGTGAGCACTGGGAGTCCCCTTCAAGGTGGCTCCTAGATCTTTTTGTAACTACCCGAGTAGTCCTGGACAGCTTGCTTGCTTTCTGTCACAAGATGTCCTGGATTCTGCTTATACACTTTTCCCACCCCAAACCGGGAATTGGCCAATTCTCTAAGAACCCTAATCCCTTCTGGTGGAAAATTATATTTAGAAAGCACAATCTGGGTATTCATGCTCATTGCACTGGGTTGTCAGAGACTAACTAGGCCTTTTCTGGAGATAAGAGCTAAAAAACACATTTGTTTTTAGAATAAAATTAATTCTGACATTTCCAATTTGAATCTGATTAATGTTAGAAAAGAGATACTAATAAAAAAGTTAAACTATGTTTCAAATAGTAATTGTAATGATATTAACATTATGTACTTATTCTACAGTGTACCTATAACAGTCTCCAAAAAGCAATACCAATATTTTCATTAATAGAAACAAACAAACAAACAAAAAAAATACGGTGTACTGTTAAGATATATCCCCCTCAGGAATTTCAGTCAAAACACTATGTTTCTAAGTCACTTGAAATAATTCTGTAGGTGGTTATGTTACCGGCTTCATATATGGTTCTATTCATTTAGTTTCCAAGTTCTGGAAGGAAGGCTGTCTTGCTTTCTTTTCAAACTTAATTTTGTTTCATATTATGTAGAACATGTAATGGTTCCCAAATCAAATATGACACAAGGTACATTCAGGGAAGTCTAGCTTCCATTCCTATCCCCCTCTGCCTAGTTCCTTCTCCCAAAAGAGCACTTTGTTGGGTTTTGGTTTCTTCTGTTTCTTTTCATAAACACACACATGCATTTGTATCACTTCTTGTACTATACTATAAACACAGTCTGCAAGTTGTCTTTGTTTTGTTGTTTAGAGAATGTCTCGGAAATTAACAGCATAGAGATCTTCCTCCTCCTGTTTTGCAAAGGGTCCATTTCTGGATGTGCCCTGGTTGATTCAGTCAGTCCCCCATAGTTAACTGGGACATTTGGAAAATATTTTTGTTATCAAGTGTTTCTATTAGGAGGACTGCTTTTCTTATGTAATCCCAGCCCCATCCTCATATCTGGAAGGAGAAAACGTCCTCTCCTTATCAAGGAGAGATGCCTGCAAATGGACAGTTAGCTTCTCAGGACTCACCCGGACATCAGCTTCCCCGGCACTGGCAAGATCTTGACACTGTAAGTTGTAGCCTCCTTCCCAACTGGAGAGAATAAGCTGCCAAAGAAACAGAGGAGGAAAAATTAATGCTAAGATTTGGAAGGGAACTGAATTTTCTATTCATGTTCCTGACTGGTGTCTATGCAAGGTCAGAGTAGGAACTCCCCAGCACTTGAGTTTCTTAATCCTGTCCTCAAACACATGTGATCAAAGGATTTCCTTCTTGCTGTTGAACAGATACCAATGGTTGTATTTCTGATTTGGTATAATTTACTTCTAACCTTTACAGTGACCCAAAGGAACAGAATTTGGCTACCATTTGAGTAACAATATCTACTCCCATATTTCTACAGGTGAAATGTAGAATTACATGTAAACCTCTGAGGAAACACTAAAAATTTTTTCAAAGATTTATTTACTTGTTTGAGAGTAAGAGAGAGAGTGGGGGAAGGGGCAGAGAAAATCTGAAGCAGGCTCTCTGCTGAGCAGAGTCTGACATGGGACTTGATCTCATGGCTGAAATTATGACCTGAGCCAAAATCAAGAATCTGACACCCAACCAATGGAGCCACCGAGTATTTTTTAATAATTATTTAATATTATTTAATACTTTGTATTGGCTTATCTTAATTGATCATCTCCATAATTTTATGAAGTACATACTTATTACCATTTTACAGATGTGAAAACCAGGGCTCAAAGATTTTTAAGTCATTTTCTTTATTGTATTTATTGTATTTATTATTATGTAATCAGTCATTTGTGTGATTATAACTGATTAATATCTATATCCCTCATCATGTTGAAAAAAACAAAAGGCTCTACGAAGGTCTGTGCCTTTTTTGCCCATCTTTGAATCCACTGTTCCTTGCCCAATGCCTACTCCATAGAAGGCACTCAGTACATATATATGAAAAAAGAACTTTTCAAATTCTTTGTGGAAAATTCTGCCAAAGAAATTGTCTTTTCTTTCCTGCTATTACTGCAAAAACTCAAAATCCTAGAATATAAAGCATGTATATAAGTTACTTTCCCCTGCATCAAATTTTATTTAGGGGAAAACTTTTTCTTAATTTATGAGAGAATGTTTAACCTTTCCAACTTCAGTAATATGGAGCAGGTAATTATCTGCAATTGCTGAATGAAAAATATCTCTGGATATGAAAAGAAACCTATACATCTGACGAGTCTGACAGGGCCTTTGAATATTCAGTAATTGTGTATACTGTGAAATGATCACAGGAAGTCCAGTTAACATGTCACATAAGGTACCCAAAGGCCTATTATTTGTGGCTTCTTATCAGAGATGTGTCAAGGTACAGCTCTGTTGAAATACATACGGAGTACGGAGGAAGGGGATGTTAAAACTGAACATTAGGAACAGCTGAACTACTAAAAAAAAAAAAATTAGATTGTCTAAAACTACCTGACAATTTAAAATTTAAATAGAATTAAGCAGTTGGGGCTCCTGGGTGGCTCAGTCAGTTAAGTGACCGACCCTTGATTTCAGCTCAGGTCATGATCTCATCAGGGTGGTGGGATGGAGGCCAGCTGTCAGGTTCCACACTGAACAGAAAATCTGCTTGAGATTCTCTCTCTCCCTCTTCCCCTCTCTGCTGGAGGCTCTATTTTAAAAAAGGAGAGAGAGAGAAAAAAATCCTCCAGTGGCTTGCCATTATATTCAGAATAAAAGGCAAACTCGGTTTCCAAGACCCTCTATGAATCTGCCATCTCTCCACATTGTGGATCGTTCCCTCCTCTGTCCAGGGTGTTCTAGCTGCATCTTTATGGTCTGTGAACACCCCGAGTTTGTTCCTGCCTCAAGGCCTTTATGTTTGCTGCTCCTTCTGCATAAACACACTCTCCCCAAATCTTCATATGCTTGATTTTCATCATTCAATGTCAAGTACCACTTGTTCAGAGACAGGTCTTCCTGCCCCGCCAGCAGCCCAGCACTCACTGCTGCACAAGGGAAAGGCCATGCTGTAGAATCTAAAATAGACTCTGACACAGTGTGGGAACTCCACACGTATTTCTTTAAAGAATATTAATAATTTTAGCAGTACAGTCCTGCCTATGCAAACCTCTGAACTGGGCCTAACAAGTTAGCAAGGTTAAATCAACCTATTACTCAACTAGTGGCTATTAAATATAACCCAAAAGTGTCCAAGACCTTACGCTTGCCCAGGAAGAGTCTACAATCAGAGGAGACTAGGGGGCAATCAACAGTAGCAATTTTGAATCACGAGGTACAGAAGTGTGCACAGAGCAACAGCGGATAAGCGATAGATAAAATTCATAGCAGGGAATGGGCTCTGGGCAGATGTCCCCGCCTAAAAAGGAACAGAAACCATTTATTTGCTTGAACACTACCGTATTGTCCTGTTCCTTTAATGGTGAATCCTATGCACTTTAATATTTATACAGCATTTTCATATTTACTAACTCCTACTGCGTACTATTCTTTGAGGTTTTCAAGTCCAGAAATAGCATGTAACCCATCTTCCTATCTCTTTGGCTTATTAGTACAAGTCACAGGAGGGAACGGGGGATCATCGAACGCTGGCCAAGCAGAACTGGTAAATCCTTAAAGCCCCGTCTTGAGTTCTGGAGGATAAGCACGGGATCTCCATCTTAAGGGTAAGTTGCCTAAGGGTCAAAGCCTAAGTAACTGCTCTCGAATTACAGGGAGTGAGTGACCCACACGTCCAGCAAGTGTTAGACTCCTGGTGTCGTCAGACTTTCAGGCTGTTCTTCTGCCACAGGGGCTGCTTCTGAAAACAATCCAGGAAAGACTATCTTTCCCTTTGGTTCTTCCCAGAGAAACACATCTTGCGAGTTCATCCCATGAAGGGAAACTTACCTACTTGAAAAGCTCGCTAAGAACTCCCCTTTCAGAGCGAGGTAAATCAGGAGAAGCGATGAGACAGGACTGGAGAGTGGCTCTCCTGACCCTGGACTCCATCGCCGGTCTCTGATCACGGGGCGCTGGCGTGGAAAGTGATGGCTACGAACCGTTCTCAGAATGGCGCAAACCCAGACAAGGCACAGATTAAACTCTGTGGAGGCTCCCGATGTCAGGCAGGGGTTTATGTTCTTTTAGAATTCGAGGACCAGGAAGGCAACTACACTCGTGCCATAATCAGGCATTTACACCTAGACACGAATGACTTTAACCTGGCTGCTCCCCCAGGTTTGCTGGTGTCCCCTGAGGCTGCTTGCTGGAGCCCGTCTATTTAGCAGTTTTTGATTCTCCTTCGCAGGGATCTGAAACAGCCTTTGGTTTACAGGCAGGACAATTGTTACTTGTTTTCTTGTAGAATTACTCGGGTTTGGCATGATGCAAAGGAACAGGCGATGCGTGATGTAATGGGGGCAGCCGGAGCCGGGCTGGAATGGCAGCCAGCCTCCACCATCAGTCCCGAGAAACAGCCCGCCACTGTTGCTGACACAGGGACCCGAAGAGGTGGGCAGTGGTCTTGGAGGGACTATGCATTTGTATTTCAAACCAACTGCATTTGATATGTAAGTTGACTTAGAAACTACTTTGTCAGTCATTCAATAGCGATCTGGTCTCAGGCAAATCATGTACCTTTTCCAAGCCTCAGTATAGATCTGTAAAAGGAGAAAATCTGAACATCTGAGCTTTAAAGACCCGTTCAGATCTAAATTGTGATTTTAAATTACAATGGAAGACTAAGGACTAAAGACAGGGGCCTAAGTTGGGATGAGAAAAATTCAAGTTAGAAACAAAGATTTCCAAAACTTCCAGAAGGAATATAAGCAACCGCTGAAACCGTTCTGGAGACCTTAAATAACGGTACTGAGAGGGAGTGTGGACAGCTTGCCGGGGCGCTGCCTCAGTGGCTGCGGCTCCACTGGGATCACTTACCTCTGCCAGCATGTATACGGAGAGAAGTGTGATTCCCAGATTGTACAAGGTGAGGATACCCTTGAGGGAAAGAGCAGGTCTGGTCTTCATGTATTTGTTACCCAGCCATATGGAAAGCAGATACAGGACAGTAAGAAAAAAGGTGGGAAGGTAAGAGTCCAACATGAACCATCCTCGGACTCGGGAATCTGAAAAGAAACAGTGAGAATTCTGAAGAGCAGTACTTCTGTTTAGTTATAAAATTTTATCACATATATTGAAGACATTTTGGGGGGGGGGGTTGGTCTTTTTTTTTTTTTTCTTTTTTTACGGGGGTATGCCTGATACACAACTTAAGAGTTTCAGAAGTACAACAGGATTCAACATCTGCAAATACACTGCAAAACGATGACCACAACAAAGTCTAGTTAACATCCATCACCTTAGTTACAAAAATGTTTTTCTTTGATGAGAACTTTAAAGATCTACCGTCACGTTTATTTGTACACACTCAATCCAACAAGGAACAGTACGACGTGGCACTAAGCTGGATTTAGGTTACAGTTCAGAAGAACCACCCCATGGGGGCGAGAGAAGTTAAGGAAGGTTTCATGGAGCAAAGAGAACACGGAGTGATAGGGACAAGTAACTAAGGTGGGAGGTAGTAGTTCTAGCAACTTCTTTGGAAGAGTTACAATGTTTATTCACTCTAACTCAATAAATAGGAAGTACTACTATGCCATATGTGGGCAAAAACCAGCTCAGAAAGCCACAGTAACTTGCCAAGACCATACAGTAGTGGGCAGCAGAGCTGGGATCTGAATTCCTGTTTGATGCCTAGCCCACGAGACCTGCTGCTGTCTCCTCTGGGGAAGTCTGGAGTAGGCAGGAGAGAAGGGATATCAATAGTATATAACACTGCATAAAACCTACGTTCCTCAGAGCTTGCCAAGGACCTCGTGAGGTAAGCCAGGCAGAGCTCAGAGTTCAGCCGAGCCAGAGCGGTGGGACTGCACAGCAAGCAGGGGAAACTCAAGAAGGCAAAGGCAAAGACTCGGAGCTGATGATGCAGATGAGTGGGCAGAGAATACAACCAAGGACCTAAACCTGACCATGGACTAGAAGTATAAACAGCCAGGAGATAAGGACAAAGACACACCAAATGTTCCTTACTCTGGAGAGTGAAAACGTAAAAATCTAAATAAAATACACAGAATAGTTCTATAATATAATTAGTAACATTTGAAAAGAACTATAGACACAAAGTGATTTTAGTTCTCTATTCTGCTTTTTTGTTGTTTACATAAAGAAAATAAACTGGCCCACAATTATAAAAAATAGCATGCTGTGGGACATCTGGGTGGCTCAGTCAGCTAAGCAGCAGCCTTTGGCTCAGGTCATGATCCCATGGTCCTGGGATCAAGTCCCACTCTGGGCTCCTTGGTCAGTGGGGAGCCTGTTTCTCCCTCTGCTTGCGCTCTCGGTCTCTCTCCCTGACAAATAAATAAATTTAAAAAAAAATAGTGTGTTATTTTTAATCTCTGCAAATGGAGGTGGAAGGAGCGGATTTTTCTAGCTGATCATGCCCTTTCTTCCTGTCTCTGCTTTTCCCCCATCTCTGCCCCTCTTTCTGCTCCATTCTACCTACCCCGCACACCCCAGCTTCCCTTACTCCACCCTACCCGACAGACAGTATTGAGGAAAATGCCTTCTCAAGCCATCACTGTCCTATCACCTGTTCTTTAAACTGCTCCAATTGTGGCAGAGATAATAAGGAAGAAAAGGGGCTCATTTCAGTGCCCATGTGACTAATAGAGATTACCTGTCATACAACTAGCTGGGGAGCACTGGTCGTAAAGGTTTGTGCTATGTGCCTGCCACTTCCTAATGCCCGCCTCCGTATCTAAATCCTACGCAGCCTCTCAAGACCAGATAAAGGTCCTGCCTTTTGAAGGGAACTGTTTCCTAGCGCTCTCTCATCACTGCAGTTCCTCATCTGCGTAACAATTCTCATTTTAGAATTAAGATATTATGGCTGTAACTGTTATTACAACTAACATTTATGAGCACTAAGCCTTTCTATATGCATTCGTGTATTTAAATCTCAAAACAATCTAATGATACAGGTGACATTTCTAACAGTCTTACTGAGGTATAGTTGATATACCTGCACATATTTAACATTTACAATTTGATGTGTTTGGATTTAAGCAAACACTCATGATGCCATCACCACAGTCAAAGTCACAGACATATCCACCATGTAGCAGATAATATTATCCCCAGTTAAAGTCTGAGAAAAATTAAAGCACAGAGAGTAAAAAGGTTAAATATTTGCCCTAAACTGCTACCCCACCTCCTGTTAACAGTATTGTGGATTGAACTATATCTCCCAATAGATAGGTTCTAGTCCTAACTCCTGAGACCTGCGTGAGTGTGACCTTATTTGGAAATAGGGTCTTTGCAGGTATGACCAAGTTAAGATGATGTCATACTAGATCAGGGGGGCTCTAGCCCAGTGACTGGTGTCCTATATAATGAGGGGAGATTAGGACACAGGGACACAGGGAGGAGAAGCCGTGTGAAGATGAAGGCAGAGACTGAGGAGATGCATCTCCAAGCCAAGCAATGCCAAAGATTACTGACACCAGAAGCTGGCAGAAAGGCAGGGAACAGACTGTTCTCTAGAGCCTCAGAGGGAGCACAGCCCTGCCAACACCTTGATTTCACACTTGTAGCCTCCAGAACTGTGACAGAATAATTACTGTTGCTTTAAGCCATGCAGCTTGTGGGGCTTTGTTACTGAGGCCCTAGAAAACCGGAATACATGGTTTATTTCCTTGTTTTCCACTTGTTTCGGATGGGGTAGTTTGACCTTCCCCCCATGGTATATGCTCTGTGAGACAGGACCCAGGCCTTCTACTCTGTCTCACCTACGCATCTACTTAGTTCCGAGTTATTAAATATAGATCAACTGGCACCATGAGTCAAGCACATATTACAAAACGAATAAAGGCACCTGAAGTTTTCTTTTGTCATTGTCTTGTAAATGTTTGTCACATTTGTCAAGGAAGACAGTAATTGTCCCAACCAAAAGACAGGAACAAATACTTATAAGATTGATTATCTTTTGGACATGAGGGTTAGCTCTGCATCTGGGTTAGGTATTTGCCCCGAACAATAGAGCCCTTGATGGGAATATGGAATAAGTAAGTACGGTAAAGATGAGGGGACACCCAGAAGTCTACAAGGTGGCCTGCCAGTCACCTTAAGCTTGTGCCATTTTTAGGAAAAGGAAAATGGATTCTTGATGGCCCAGATGCTAGCCTCCCTGTCTTCGTGGAGGTCACCTGATCCAGTTGTCAGCTGTCCATCTTACAATCCCCTCACCACAAAAGGACCTCCCATAAAAATGCTCAGAACTGAGTATACGACTGCAACCCTATCCTTCCGGGACCCTCATCCACATAACTCCCGATCACCGTGATCTTCGTAAACACAAAGCTCAGTGTGAACCCGGGTCAGAGAGACTGCTCCACTCTCTAGTGGCAGTGCCAAATATAGAAAGCCACAGTCTCCAAGAAACCCCACATGCCCAAGTGAGAGCACTGTGCCCTCTGCCTGAACCGTTCCCCTTCCCACCCACGAGAACTGCGAGGCAGAGAACACAGTCAAGCTTCTGAGATACAGATATCCTGCCCTGCCTACCCACACAGGGTTGTCACAAAGATAAAATGGGGGGAGGGGGCGTGGGAATAGTGTGAGAAGTTTTTCAACGCTCCATACAAAGGCGCCTGGGCTGCCTTGGTTAGTGGAGCAGGTGACTCTTGATCTCAGGCCCCACGCTGGATGTAGGGATTACTTAAAATCTTTTTTTTTTTTTTTAAGCTCTGAACAAATGCACAGTATCATTATAATAAAACTATACAAACAGTCATTCATTTAGGAAAGCTTCTAAAGCCTACACAGAGACTGAAGTGGCCTAAGTAATCTCTACATGGTTCTGTTTAGATTTTTGAGAGACAGGAAAACGCCATTTCCCTCCACCTCTACCCAGCAGGGCTGGGGAAATAACTTAGAGAACCAGAGAACTACAGATTTCCCACAGTGTGAACCAGCCGGGCTCATTCATCTGCAAGCTGTGTAGTGTGACTAAGATGTCCGTGGCACTGGAGAAGACGGTGCTCCGCGGTGAGGTGGAGGTGACCGGGACCTGCAAGAGCACAGGTGCGCAGGCGCGACAGCCACAGCCAGGGCGGAGTGAGCGCAAAGAGGAGACGCAAGCGCACAGACTACTGCTGACTGCGCATGTGCAGGAGGTGCGCGCGGTGAGTAGGTGACAAAGAAAAGATGGAAGTCGTGGAGGGCACAAGGACAGCCGCAACCGCACTGCAGTGTGCCCTTGCTTGCGGCTCCCAGGACTTTCACCCCAGGAAGACTGAGGAGAACTGAGGCTTTCTTGATGTCCTGGGAGAAGGATATCAAAGGTGAGGGAACTTAAATCTCTAAAAGTTGAGCACTATCCTGTTTAAGACACCAGAAGTGACGAAACGCTCCTCCACGTGAAGTTCTCGAGTAGCTTACTCACCTCGAGGTCCAAACATATTGTCCAAAAAAGCATTGATTTCATCATCAAAGGCCTTTAGATGCTCCTGAAAAGGAAAAAAAAAAAAGATTAAAGTGGGGTTTTTTTTGGGGTGGGGACTCTCAAAACAGACCACTACCAACAGAACAGCTACCAGAATCTCCCAGTCCTAGCTTCAGGGACTCTCGGATGCAAAAACTTAAGGAAAATGGACAAGTTAAACGCAGGCTCACCATTCATGAGCTTGTGTGGATTTGGAGGGAAATAATTCCTTTTTCCTTTCCTTAGGCAACAGGAGTCCTGGAAAACAGGCTTGGCACATTTAAACTCTGAAGGGTTATTGACCTTAATTTCATTTCCCTCTAAAATGCTTAGAGGCATAAGCTTTCCCATAAGCAACTTCTATTGTTACTATTAACAGAGGTTGTGTGCAAACAACATGGAGGGTCTGTACCTACAGGATATAATGTAATTGTTAAATGAAAATTCAGCTGAGTTGTATTTTACAAAGTTGAATCAAAAGCTTTAAAGGGGACTAATTTTTCAAGTAAGGAAATTAAGCAGTACAGCTATTTTTTTCATAACCTTCATATTTTGTTTTCAAAACCTTTTCTATTACATGAATATTTATTTAATACCATAGTAAACAGTGTCACTAGGGTACATCAGATTATTACTGTCACTTTAACTGGATTTAGGTTGAGACAGGAGAATTTCTGTTAAGAATCCTATGGTTGCTAAATTGGCCACAGTCTCTTGGTTTAGCTCCTGTTCATGCTGGTGTGCTATTACACTGCTCAAAATACCTGCTAAGGTGTTCCCTACCCCTGCTCAACAATCTAGAGCACCACCTCAAGCAAACGGAAGAAAAGGCAAAGCACTCCCCAGTGTTCCTAGCAAAGGGATGTTTGAAGAGAATTCTGGGGTCAGTAGATGGGTGAGTTGAGTGTGACAGCCCTCAGGACGTTCATCTAGAACACTCTGTATAATCAACAGCAGGAATGCAGTCAAAGCATCTCATTCTCAAAGAAAGTCTAAGTGCCAAAGAGGAGAATTAACTTATTGGCATCTGAGAAGATCTGTACTTTTGGTGATTGGCACCTATCATTTAGACCTATTTTTTATTTGTGACTTTGATCCTGAGAAAATTTCCAGAAAACTTAGATCTTTGGGGACTTTAGGAAGCTTGGGAGAGTGGATGAGGATTAGTGCTGACATCTGTTAGCACCTATACCTGCTGGCCATGTATTAGGACCTTTATTATTTCATTGTAGCTCTATAAAAAGTATCTGGGCTCAATCAAGCTTGTAAGTTTCTAGTGTTTTGATTTCCATGAAGGACATCTTGGGAAACCTCTAGATTTGAGAATGGTCACCAACCTCACATGTCAGTGTGACAGAGTAAAAGTTGTGTTGCCATTAGAAAAGAGCAGATCTGTCCTGAGGCCTCTCACTCTTGAGCAAAGAATGTTAACCTCACTGATGAACCCACCCTCCTAACAAACACCAATGAAATCTTCCTTTCATTGCCACATCCACCTACACATTTAAGCTTTTTCAGTCTGTTTGCTATTGTCCAAAATCCATTTTCTTACACCTGTAGGTCTAAGGAAACTCTTAACTAAAGGTTACAGAGCTTATATTAGTTCTATGAGGTTGCAGAAATTTAGTCACAGTGGAAGACCAGAAATAAAAGAGAGGGGAAGATATGGAGAGAGAGCAGAGTGGAAAAAAATGAGTAACAAAGGGCATTCCACACCATTACCCTGATAACAAAACCAGAGGACACTACAAAAACAAAACAACACAACAGCAAAACCCTTGAGGCCAGTATCTCTGATGAACATAGACCCAAAAATCCTCAGCAAAATATTAGTAACCAATTCCAGCAACACATTAAAAGGATAATTCACTATAATCAAGTGGGGTTTATTCCAGAGATACAAGGGTGGTTCAATATTTGCAAATCAACTGGTATATCACATTAACAAGAGGAAAAATTTTTAAAAATATGATAATCTCAATAGGCACCATAAAAGCATTAGACAAAATATAACACTCATTCATGAAGAAAACTCTCAACAAAGTGGGTTCAGAGGGCCATACCTTAAAATAATAAAGGCTGTATTTGAAAAACCCACAAGGAGCTAACATCATCCTTGACAGTGAAAAGCTAAAAGCTTTTCCTCTAAGATCAGGAACAAGACAAAGATGTGTACTCTCACGACATTTATTTAGCAGAGTACTATGAAGTTGTATCTGTAGGAATCAGGTGAGAAAAAGAAGCAAAAGGCATCCAGATTGGTAAAAAAGAAGTAAAACTGTCACTATTTGCAGGTGGAAAATCCTAATGACTCCACCAAAATCCATTAAAATGGATAAATTAGTAAAGTTGCAAGATACAAAATTAACAGAAAACTGTTCCATTTCTATATACTAATAATGAAGTAGCAGAAAGAAATCTAAAAAAAACATCCCATTTACAGTTGCACCAAAAAGAATAAAATATCTAGAAATAAATTTAAACAAGGAGGTGAAAGGACCTATACTCTGAAAACTAAAAGTCAACTGATGAAAGTTGGTAAGACACTGATGACACAAACAAATGGAAAGATACACCATGCTTATGGATTAGGAGAATTAATATAATTAAAATGTCTATACTACCCAGAGCAATCTATAGATTCAATGCAATCACTATCAAAACACCTATAGTATTTTTCACAGAAATAGAAAAATACTGAAATTTGTATGGAACCACAAAAGACCTCAAACAGCTGAAGAAATTTTAAGAACAAAGCTAGTGGTATCAAAATTCCAAATTTCAAGCTATACTACAAAGTAACTTTAATCAAAAACAATATGGTACTAGTATGAAAACAGACACAGAGATCAATGGAACAGAATAGAGCCCAGAAATAAACCCAAACCTATATGGCCAATTATTCTACGACAAAAGAGGCAAGAATGTACAATGGGAAAAGACAGTCTTTTCAATAAATGCTACTGGGAAATATGGACAGCTATATGCAAAAGGGTAAAAGTGGACCACATTCTTACACCATACACAAAACTAAACTCAAATGGATTAAAGACCTAAATGTGAGACCTGAAATCATAAAACGCCTAGAAGAAAACATAGGCAGTAATCTTCTGGGCACTGCTCTTAGCAATATATTTATGGATCTGTCTCCTTAGGCAAGAGAAACAAAGCAAAAATAAACTGGGACTATATAAAATAAGATTTTGCAGAGCAAAAGAAACCATCAACAAAACAAAAAGACAATTTACTGAATGGGAGAGGATATTTTCAAATGATATATCTAGTAAGAAGTTAGTATCCAAAATATATAAAGACCTAACTCCCCACCCAAAAACAAATACTCCAATTTAAAAATGGGCAGAAGATGTGAACAGACATTATTCCAAAGATATACAGATGGCCAAAAGACACATGAAAAGGTGCTTGACCTCACTAACTCAGAGGTAACCAACTGAAAACATAAGGGGATATCACCTCACACTTGTCAGACGGCTGGTATTAAAAAGACAAGAAATAACAAGTGTTGGTAAGGATGTGGAGAAAAAGGAACCCTCACACACTGCGGGAAATTAAATTGGTGCAACAACTGTGAAAAACAGTATGGAGGTTCCCCCCAAAGTTAAAACTGAAATACCATATGATCCAGTAATCCCGTTACTGGACATTTACCCAAAGAAAACCAAAACACTAATTTGAAAAGAGACATGCACCCCTATGTTTATTGCACCATTATTTACAACAGCCAAGTTATGGAAGCAGCCCAGCTGTTCATCAACACATGAGTGGATCAAGAAGATGTGGTGTATATATACAATGGATTACCATGTAGCCATAAAGAGAGATCTTGCGATCTGCGACAACATGGATGGACCTAGAGGGTATAATGCTAAGTGAAAGCAGTCTGACAGAGAAAGACAAATACCATATGATTTCACTAACATGTGGAGTCTAAAACACAAACTAAAAAAAAAAAAAAAAAAGGGGACTCTAAAATACAGAGAAAAAATTGGTGGTTGCCAGCAGGGAAACAAGTAGGGGATGGGCAAAATACACAGGATTAAGAGGTACAAACTCCCAGTTATAAAAGAAATAAGTCACAGAGATGAAAAGTACAGCATAGAGAATAGTCAATAATATTGTAATAATGTTGTATGGTGACAGATGGTGTCTACATTGATCATGATTAGCACTGAGTAATTATCAAATTGAATCAATATATTATACATTAACATAACACTGTATCTAAATTGTACTTTAAATAAATAAAATAGAAGGAATACTCCAATCTTTCAGTCATTCATGTGTGATTCATTAACCAATTACCTGACCATTACTATGTGCTAGCACAATCTTAGGAGCTGAAATACAAAGTCAAATAAGACCCGGTACTCATCTTGACACAGGATACTGATAAGCAAATCAATAATTACGATATTAATGTCTTCAGTATGAGAGAAACGTCAGGGATGTGCTGTAAGAACAGAAAGGAAAAACATATTTGGCCGTAAAAAGGAAGGAAATCTTGCCATTTGTGACAACATGGATAGACTTCGAGGACATTATGCTAAATGAAATAGGAGAGAAAGACAGGTATCTTCTGACCTCACTTAAATGTGGAATCTAAAAGTACAAAAACCAAAACCCCAAATTCATAGGTACAAAGAGTTTGGTGGTTACCAAAGGCAGTGATATGAGGGTGGGCAAGATGGGTGCAAACTTCTATGTAAAATGAATAAAAAAGTATAAGTATATATGTTAATCAGACTTATTGTGGTGATCATTTCATATATATATATACATATATATATATATACTGAATTATTATGTATATACTGAATTATTATGTTGTGCCCCTGAAATGAAGAACATAGAGGTAGCAAATTTAATATAGTTCTTTTAAAAACAGAAGCCTCCCAGGAAGGGATGTTATTGCTGCTGAGTTCTGAAAGACTCTAGGACACCTTCTAGATGGAGAAGGAAGATCATTTCAGGAAGAAGAATCAGCATGTACACGTAGATTGAGAC